TATTATCTGAAATTAATGAATTAAAGTATCTTAATAAGCAATTACTATCTGAAAATGAAAGATTAAAAAAAAGTTAGCTAGCCGATTTGTTAATCTAAAAGATCGTATCAAAGCTATAATAGATATTACCAAAAAAAAACGAGAAAATTTATATGATGATATATTAAGTTTAATAAATGATCATGAAAGATTTCAATTAAATAGTCTTTTAAAGTATTCTCCTTCCCAATGGCTTATTAAACGAAATCTGGTTGTTGTAAAATTTATAGAAATTCTCATTTATAATGAAAATGAAAATCAACATGAGGGTGAAAAGCTATTCAAATATGTTGTAATAATTGATATAATTTATAGAATAAAATACCTAAAATATATATCTGCTATTAATTTAGCGGTATTAGCAATTAAATATTCTATTGCAAGATCTAAATTAATCATTGATATTACAAGTTTTATTTTATTGAATTATAATCCTATTAATCAAATACAAAATCTTGAAGATCCTTGGTTATATAAAACCTCTCTTAATGCATTACAAATTGAAGAACTGTTTAATATCATCCCCAAAATGCAAACATTAATTAATTAATAACTTTGCAATTAACTTTTTGTTATTTTAGCTGAAACATGTATAGAGAATAACAAAGATATAAATGTCATTAATAATTTAATAACTGATTAGAATATGAAAATAGGTAAACAGAAATGGTGTTGAGAATGTGATAAAGATAATATTAAAAATTCAAAACGTAAATGTCCTCAATGTAATATGAAACTTTTTATACTTGCTGAAACTTAAGAAGCAATTAATCAAACAATATTTGAAAAAAAAAAGATATAATCAAACCTTTAATTTTTAAATCCTATCAATCTGAAATAAATACTTTCAAAATGTTTACAAATTCAATTAATCCAATTAGTATAATTCAAAGATCTAATCAAAAAGATATTAATGTATCTAACATCCTTATTTCAGATCCTATATCAATCAATCCAAACTCTATTAAGAATATCCAAAAAGTCTTAGAACATATTAAAAAAATTAGTGGGATTAATAAAGGTGAATGAAAATGAATTGCAGTAGTTTATAATAGAATTCCTTATCGTTATGCACAAAATTTAAAAATGATTATCTAAAAATTCTTTTAATACTCAGTCTACTTTATGAGAAGATGAATATGTTGAAATCCTTTATGGAATTGAATTAGCAAGTTATAGTTAGTTCTAAACTATTTTAAATTAATTTGATCTTATAATTTCATAATATAAAATTTAGGGCTATCAATCTATAATATTTTGCATAATGTCAAGAATACAAAAATAAAAACCAATTAGGATATTTTAAAAAGTGTGCTGATCATTACAAAGCATGGGATTCAATTTGTAATATTTATCAGCACATGATAGCCATAAAATTAGTTTGGCCTTATGTTATTTTAGATCTTAGTTTGTCTATTACTAGATATCTCAATTGGGTTAAGAATTAATAAAACAAGTTATATAAATTAAAATATGAACAAGTATATTAGTAATTTGTAATTTAATAATTGCAAATATTCAAAAAAAAACTAATACTTATTTTTTTTAGATCTTTTTGTATTTGCAAGCCATAATAAATTTTTGTGTCAGAGTTAGACTTAATCAACCCTTACTTAAATCAGCTGTACATAGAGCATTTACCCCTATTTAGTTCATAAGGTAACATCCTATTTATCAAGAAATTAAAGTAGCTGATGAAGAACAATTTATACGCCTTCGCCCTAAAATCTGACAACTTATTAAACTAAATTCAGTTGTATTACAGTCAGGATGATCAAATTAGTATTAAGAATTAGATGCTATACTTAAAAAAGTTAATAAAATGCTGAAGACACTCATCCTGTCTATACCAACTCAGAAGCACTGGAAAATTGCAGCAAGAAATTGTATGAAATTTATCAAGGTAAAAATAATAAATTTAATAATAATAAATTATGATACTTATCATTTCTTTTTTGATAGCAGTTACAGAAGAGATTATTTTCTACAATCAGATATGCAAATGCTAAAAGTACTGGTTTACGAATGCGTTCAGATTATAAAATAGAATCACAACAGTTCTGAGTTTAGTTAAGAATAGTATTACAGCTCAAGCTTAATATATAAATTATATCAAATAAAAATTAAGTTTAACAAAACTATTACTTACTTGTTCCATTTTTGTTACTATTGATGAAATGCAAATACAATCAGCGAAAGGTTCATTGAAGAAGAAAGAGCTGATATTGGTAATCGAATCACTAATTGGAACTTTAAATAAAACCAATTGGTCATAATTTTAAGGTTTGAAGTCAAAAAAAAAGGATGAACTATTAGTTATTCTACAAGAAGTTCAAGATTTGATTAACAGTAATGAAATAATTTGAAAACAAAGTCAAAAATTCTAAAATATAATCAATAAATATTTGCAAATTGACATTTTCAGTTTCATAAAATCTTGCATTATCATTTTGCTTTATTAAAAATTTTTTTATTAAATTATATGTTATATTGTTATATATGATAATTTATAGCCAATAAAATTCTGTATTACTGAATTTCATCAGATTTCTAGAATACAGATTATTTCTATATTTGAAAATACTATATATGAAAAAATACCAGACTATAGTTAATTTTAGGGTTGAGAATGATCCGATCTGATTTGATTTAGTCTGATCTTTAGCAGTCTTTGAAAAAAGATCAGAGACTAATAGTCTCATAAGATTATCAATCTTTAATTTAAATTGGTCTTTTAGACCATTGTTCTAATAAAAAAATTTTAACAAATATGCTGTGAAAAAATATTTTTTATTAGAATAATATTCATTAATTTCAAAATTACTATTACTTTATATATTAATATATATTCTATGATACACACAGTCTAAAGCTACTACTTTTTATTTTATGATCAAATTTTCAATTTTATACTCAAGTCACGTGAAATAAATTATATTGGTCAATACTTTAATCATATGATTAGAAAATTAAATGGACTAATAGATTTATTATTAAGAATTTACATAATTTATCACATTTTCAGAAATTCGTTAATGTAATCAATACTTTTTACAGCATATAAAGCTGCAATATTCATTAAGCCTTTTTTGTATGTATTTATAAACCTTTAAGAATGACAAGCATATCATCTAATTTGTTCTAAAGAAATAGAATTTAATGCTTCTGATACAATTTATTCTAATGCTTTAATTGAATAATCACAATTATTACGGGTATATCATTTAGCTGCATCCAAAACATCTCAATAAAATTAAGCTCATAATGAAATTTTGGATAAAATATGATCTTATGTTTCTGATTTTTAATTATCTCTTTAATCAATAGTTTTTATGTCAAAAATCAGGTTAAAGTGAAAGTATATGAACTGCATAATAATTATCTGAAATTGAAAAGTGTTTTTTGCAATTATCACAAATACGTTTTAATTAATTTTGAGGCTATAGTTCACATTCTTCTAAAACTAATTTGATACCTTTTAGCTGTTTGTTTAGAAAATGCATTGACTATGCTAATCCATTAAGCATTAATCTATCTTTAAATTTTCCTTTGCCATTAGATTTAAGATTCATTCATGATGCAATAAGAGCATCTTCAGTATAAGCTATATAACTTATTGCATTATCAAATGCAAATATACTAATATTATCAGAATGTAATTTCTCAAATATGTGAATTGCTTTTTTAATTATCTAACATTAAAAAATAATATTAAAATATTAATAAACAAATAAATAATATTTTAAAAATAAATATAATTAAGTCACCTGTTTAATTAAATCATCTGTTTTCCACCATTCATCACAATTAATTTCTAGTTTTATTATAATACATGCTTCTTCTTTCTCAAATTTTAAATATACATCAACTTCTGTAAGGAAATCACTAACATGTAAACTAAGTTCTGTTCCTTTTTTTTTGAAGTGGTTGATGTTTAGCTAGTCTTTAAAAGGTTTTTCTTATCATTAGCATAAAAAACAGATTCATCATGTGTTATCAATATATGGCGCTTCTTATTTACATCTAAAACTGGTTCTTCTAAAATCATTATATTATCATTTGATAGTTTTGCCATCAATATTTCTAACTCCAAAATTTTATTTAAAAATTTTTGTCTATATTTAATTGCATCAGATCTTTATGACCATTATAATAAACATTTTTTTTTTTAACATGAAACTTCCATCCAAAGTGTTTTAACCAAGCATATGCTGTATTATCAGAAATTGTTTTTTTTCTTTTAATTTCTATGTTTAGAAATACTTCCTGTTCAATGTAAGCTTTAAATCCACTTACTGTTACATTACAATTAATACTCCAAAGATATTTTGTAATCATTTGATGAATATTTTTATTACCTAATAAACTTTTTACTTTTTGATGTTTTTCACGTATTAATACTAAAATCTGACAATAAACAATATAATTATGAGTCTATAATATAATTAACCATGCTTGATAATCACCTTTTCTAATGCTAATTATAAGAGTATTGCTTGCATTCATGTATTTAAGATTACTTAACTATAAATTAATATATTGCATTATAAGTTGCAACTGCATTTTGACTTGCAAGATGAAAGATTTTCAGCAATCAATTTTTTTATATTCTCTAATGCTAATTCAAAACCTTATTGTTCTTAATTCTTTTCAAATTACTTTAATTTATCTACAAATTCTTTTGCAGATTGTTGTGGTATTTATTGATATAATTTAAGTATAAAAAAAAAGTAACAAGTTTAGCAATATCAGTTGTTGCAATTTTAGCAGCTGTTTTTTATGTCTCTAGCATCAGGAATATTTTTAATGCGAAGTATTGCGTAAGATTTACGATTTGTAAACTTATGCAAATATTACGGCGTA